TGATTAGTGGCGCCTTGGTCTTGGCTGTAAAATCATTAATCACCGGGAAGGCAGAAGCGCTGCTCATGCGGCTGGAACGGGCTGGTGCCATCGCCCGCGGGAGTCACCGGGACGACGGGCCGGACCGTGGGCCGCCGGCTTGCGGAGCTGATCTCCCGCCTGGGTTTAGCAAGGCAGGGCTTTCCCCCTGGATGTTGGAATGAGCCAGGCTTACCCAAAAGCTGGTGCTCGCCCCACCCCTGGCTCTGGTTTTGGGCACGGTGGTGCCCGGCGCGGCCTTTCGCCGTTGTGCGGGGGCTCTCGAGGCCCCTTTCTGGCAAACGGCGGCTCCTTTCCTGCTCTGAGGCCCGGAGCTGGAGTCACGTAGGCCCGGCCTTGGTGCTCCCCTCAGCTGGCTCCTGGGGACCCCGACTTGCTGTTGGCGGAGCAGCGATGGGGAGAGGCCGGAGCATCCTCTGCAGCGACTCCATCGCTTGGCCCTCGCCAGAAAGAGGGGGGCAGAGACACGGGGCGGCTCTTGCCTTCACCGCCGGTGCCGATTCGGGGTGTCCCGGCTTCAAAGGGTGCTCAGCCAGACCCCCCTGCCCCCCGGCTGCAGCAAAGGGCTGAGCGGGGTTTCCCAGATGCTTGGAGGACACCCTGGATGCTTGAGTGACCCCCAGAGAGAGATTGGGGTGCTCTGACAGCCCCCCCCCATGCCGGGCACCGTCTCTCTGGCACCGTGGCCAAGGGTGTCAGCAGTTTCTCCTCTCCCGGGCTGTGAGCAGGCAGCTTTCCCGGGGAGCTCTAATTAATAACCCAGTGACAGATTGCACAGGCTGCGTTTAACCTAATAATCTCGCCAGGAGCAGCAGCCGCCGCCACTGCCAGGCCCCCGAGCCGCAGTGGGCAGGCGCGGGCAGGGCTGCCCTCCACCTCCATCCCTGGGGGGTACCCGCAGGGTGGGGGCTGGATGCGCCCGCGGAGCTGCAGCGGGAGAAGCGTTTTCCCAGGCTGTGGCTCTCGCCCACGGCCGCTCGGGATGGACCCCAGCATCTCTGCGCCGTGTGAAGCCTGATCTGGCAGGCAGAGGAGCTCTGCCAGCCTCCAAATCGGTGGCTCGGAGCGCTGCCTGCACGCATCCTGCCTGCCACAGGCTGCTGCCTGCCATTAATTATGCATTAGCCCTCTATAAAGTATTTATGTCTGCCTGCTGCTCAGCCGCGGCCAGAAGGGTCCCGGCTAAAGGGAAATGGCTCCTCGGTGGCTGCGGATGCTCGGCCCAGGTTGCTCTTGGGTTTGCTTTGGGCTCTTTCATTTCCGTCGCTTTTTTTTGGAGGGGGAAGAAATGAAGCTTTTGGTGCGCAGGATGCTCCCAGGATGCTGGGGGTGGGAGAGCGGGTGGTGCCTGTGCTGGCTGTGGGTGCTTGTGCTGTGGGTGCTGGCGCCGTGCTGTGCCCGGAGCAGCTGGGGGGACCCCTCCTGCCATGGGGACCCCAATTTTGGGTGGGTGGGACTGCACAGCGCTGTGCATTCAGTCTCTCCCAACAAGTACATCTGATAATTGTGCATCGGATTAATTCACCTGCCGTAGCAGCAAGCGACCATCAGGACACCGGCCACCGGCATGACGCCGACATTCCTAAGGGCTCCTTATCCCACGATGTGGCTCCTCACCAGCCGGGGCTGCTGAGGGCTCCAGGCCCCCACGCTGGCCCAGCTCCATCTCCACTGCGTTGGAGCTGGGCTGAATAAATCCTCTATTTACCTCCCTCTGTGATAACTCAGGAATTTACTCAGTTAAGGGCGAGTTTTACACCGCTACCAGTTAATTTATTCTCATTGCGCTGGAGGTTGGAGAACGGTGTTTAGCCACCGCCGTGTCCAATAAATCCCATCCGATGTGAAACATGAAGTTAAACCCGCTGCGTGTAAAGTAAAGTATCGTCCCTGGCTTGTTACAGGGAACGGGTCATTTATCTTTGCCTGGCTCGGTGCAGAAGGTGCTTGGAGAGCGATGAGTTTGCTCTTGATTTTCATAATTAATAATTATGAATTACCCATGAAATGCTAAATGGCCCAGCGCAAAACCACCAGCTTATGGCATGAATAAATCAGGAAAAGGGAAAGGAGAGGGGTGGGGGTGGATGGTTCTCTGCTTTTGGGACGAGTGTGTTGGGACCCAGCTGAAACTGGGGGGTGGTGGGAGCCTGCCGTGGTCACCCCCATCCTCGGCGGCGTTGGGAGATGGAAACCAAAACCCTGAGCTTGGATCTGCCTGGAAAAGCTGCAGCCGGATGCAAAAATCAGCTTTTTGAGGGTGGTGGGGCACTCAGCCAGGTGGGGATGCCCAGGTACCCCCCCCCCCCCCC